GGACGCGCCGGCCGCGCGCGGGGCGACGCCCGCGGCGCGGCGGCGCGGCTGCTGCTGCGCCGGGCTCGCGAGGCTTGGCTGCTGCTGACGGCCGGAGATGCTGCTGAGGCTGCCGGCTCTGCTGCAGAGCGGGCCCACCATGCTGCTGCTGGTACTGCTGCTGCTGGGGCTTGTGCCACTGCTGTTGCTGCTGGGGACGCTGCTGCTGCCCAGCCCCCGCCGCGTCGCACGGCCACCAAACACCGGCCGTGCGGCATCAAGGCGCCGTGCTGCCATGTGCCGACCCCGCTGCATGAGTGTGTGGATATTGCACCAGATAATCAGTGGCCATGCATGCACAACAAAGCGGCCCCAATGTCAGCACACAACTGCAATGCTGATTACACGGCTGCAATTTAACAATAGGAAATGCTGATTGGCATGCCCGTGATGCGGCGGCCCGGTGCAAATCGATGGTTGCGCGCAAGCAGCAAAAGGATGCGGCGCGCTAGCGGGGGCACACCATTTGGAGCGTCCCTGTGCCAGCGCCTTCAAGCCGCAAAGAAGAAGACCTGAGCGTTGCGTTCGACGCGTTGCAGCCGTCCACCAGTGAGCTTTTTGCAGCTGCTCATGGACCACACCGGTGCCATTCGACTTGCAATCATGGCTCACGCACCTCATGCCTGCCGCGACCTGTCGGCCAAACAAATCTGTGCCAAAATTCCTCTATCCGTGCTACCAGAAGCGGCCAGCAATGCGCTTGTGAGCCTGGCAGTGGCTGGGGGCTCTTCGTGATCGGTGCCGGCAACCTAAACTTTTTCGGAACTGCGCACTGGTAAATAAAATAATCGCTGAGTATCTGTTTGATGAACTGGAAGGTAGCTGACGGCATGGCAATGCAGTTGTTGTCTGACACCGCTGCTGCTTCGCTAGGGCAGTGCTTGCGGGGCAGAAGGATGCTGCTGTAGCTCAGCCCCACGGTCGATATGGCCCCTTAGAGGCCTGAATTTGTACAGTTCAGGCCTTGCATCAACGATGGCCTACTGGGGTCCAAGAGCACGCGGTCAACTCGCCCAGCGATGTGCCGCTGCCCAGTCAACTGCTGCCGATATTGGCTGTGATCCGCGCAGAGTGCAGAACCAGCTGGAATCGCCTGGTCTTGCGAAACTTGAAACTGTCTCACCGCGCAGCCAGCCTTCACCTAAACTCAAAGGAGAGCCACCGGTGGCATTGTTGCCAGGCAGATGCACATTGCTAGCACCAACTGTACCAGCAGCGCACGCCCGTGGCTGTTTGGAAGCGTGACGTAGATAAATGTTGAGTATTGGCACCAACTCTTGAGCTTGTGCACTGATTACAGGCTCTAGTGACGAAAGTCGACGCCCCTGCTTCGCGAATGACGCGCCCAACGCGGGCGTTGCAAGGGGGTTCGAAACCCCCGCGCAGCTGGACTGGCTGTTTGAAGCACGTCGGCGCCTACACCTGGCAGCCGCAGAAGTGGACTAGAGGGTGGCGGCTTGCATATGGTGTGATGGCTGCTCTGACACGTCCAGGGCGCGCTGAGGCGATTTCTACCGGTGCATGACTAGCAGGGGAGGCGGCGCTCAAAGTGGGCCAGCGCGGACACGCCCAGAGATCCAACTGCCCGCTTCCAGCGTATGTTATAGTCTTCAGCGTTGCACGCATGACACGTACACCGATAGTGTACAGTACGGGGCGCCTTGCGAGTTTCTTGACATTTTCTTGCACGCGGCCCCTATCGAAGCGCAATGCTCGGCTGGAACGCACTGAGGGCTACATGCCACGCCATGCGGCATGGTAGCTTGGGGATGTGCCCGCCCTATCACCTTGGCGGCCCCTCCTCACTATCTGAAGCGCTCGCAGGCGCCGCCGCCGCAGCAGTCCCACCAACCGCGGCGCCGCGTGGCAGCCGCGGCGTATACGGGGAGTCTCTTGATCGGTCCGAGGCCAATAAAGCCGACTCCTTCTACAACACCACCGGTGGGCCGCAGGCCGCAGCTGTGCAAAACGCTTGACATGCAGAACTGCAACAGAAGTCGCCCGGCACGCACAGCACACCCGTCACGCATACGAGCCTCCGCATGGGCTCGCATGCCGCACGCGGCGCCGCACGCCATCCCCCTCTCACCTCTCCCGCCCGCCACATGGCGCGGCGACAGTCGAGACGTATGCGCAGCTGCCCATCACGCCGCTGGCGCTGGAGCACCTGCTGGCGCGCGGCCGCAGCGCGGCGCTCGACGCCGCCTACGTAATGGAGAACGCCAGAGACGTGCGCCGGGGGCCAGCCATTCCGCTGCCGCTGCCGCAGCCGCCTGGGGGATCTCGGCCCTGGGACTGACTAGGTCGACCCCCTGGAACAGCCAAGGCACGTGCAGGAAATGGGCGGCGCCCCTGCCGCTTCGGCGCCGAGGAAACCCCCCCCCCACACACCACTCAGCTTCGTATGGCGGCGGCGGCGGCGGCGGTAGCGAGGCTATTACTCTAATCTCCTTGTTCCGCTCTGCACCCTACATATGGGAGTCAATGGCTGTGCCTGCGTTCCATTCGCCTCGCCACTGCTGACCATTCAACGAGTCGTCCCGCCTGCCGCTCCCCCCAGGTGCAGCGGGAGCTGCCGCGGCGCCTGGCCAGGCGGCTGCTAGACCTGCAGCTGCTGCCCCACATCGTGGTTACTAACCCCCATGTGCGGCGCGTGTACCACGCATACTTCCAGTTGAGTCGTCTGGGGTGCACAGGCTGGGGGGACCAGGCAGCCCGGTGGGCGCCCGGGCCGGCAGCCACCACGGGGTGTGAAAGGCGTCGCTGCAGGAAGCTTCTCAATGGCAGGGGAACGGCCATGGCTGGCTGGCTGGCGGAGCACCGGGGGACCGCCAGGTCTGTTTTGACTTTTTCAAACACTGCACCAAGTCTGCAGTGCTGACGTCATCGAATGTTACGCCCTCCTGACCATTCGCGTGGCACCGCGCTGTTGCGTCACCCACCTTTCTCGCCGCCAGCGCATTTGAGACGCTCAGGCAGCTGCCGCCAGTGAGTCACCGACAGCTCGGGGCGCCGCCTCCGAGGCGCTGCGCAGCCCTTGCACTCGCTGCTCTCGCCCGCGCCTGCTCCTCCTCAGCCCCTGCGACCCCCCTTCTCAACGGTGCCCCGCACTTCTGCTAAATCAAACCCAAACGCGCCAATTCCCACCCATGCGCTGCTCACCGCGCGCCCCTCCCCGCCATCGCCTCGACAAGACCACCCCGGCCCCTCCCTCTGCCCCTCAACCATCACCCAACCGACGTTTCCTCCCCGCCCCGCCAGGTCAGCAGCCCCCAGGAAAACGTGGCGTTCTGCACCCTCCTGCGCCGCCTGGTGGACGAGCACGCGCCCATGCTGGACGCGCTTGCTCAGGGCCTAAAAGAGGCCAAGGCGCGCGCCCTGGTGGGGCCGGCGCTGCAGCTGGACGCCTTTCTGGACACTATGCTCCGCAGCCGCATCACGCGGCGCGTGCTGGCGGAGCAGCACCTGGGGATCAGCGGGGGCGGGGGCGGCGTGGTGGAGGGGGCGCTGGGGGTGGCGGACGCGGCGGAGTTTGCGGGGCAGAGGGCGGCGATGCTGTGCGCGGAGGTGGGTCGTGGGGGGGACTTCGTGTGTGGCAACAGGGGGAGTGGCTTGAAAGCAGTCTGAAAGCAATTGGGGCATCCTGTAAGGGAGGGGCAGGAGGGTTTCTTTGCGCAGGGGGCGGCAATTGGCACGTGCTGTGGGGTGGGGGCAGGGAGGTGCACAGGGGCCGGCAGGTGGTGGAGGTGTGTTGTTGCGTGGTGGGGGGCGCAACATTTTTGTGGGTGCCCCGGCGCGGGGGCGGGGGCAGGGCGAAGTGCTGCCGCATGGATGCGCACGGGCGGCCAGGGCTTTGCCTTGCGCCCTCTCCCCTCGCTGTGCTAGGGCTCCCTCAGCCTGGCCTGTGCTGCTCAAAGTCACCTCCTGCACTCAAGAAAACAAGTTGCAGGCCGCCGTCATTGGTTGTCGCAACACTTCCACCCCTGATAATGCTAATCCCCTTCCCCCCTCTCACTCACCAATGTCACAGGTGTATGGTGTGGCTCCCGAGGTGCGCGTGTCGGGTGACACCCAGGCCGTGCTGCCTTACATCCCATCACACCTGGATTACATGATGTACGAGGTTAGGTCATTATATGGCCCGGGTCAATGGGGGACGAGGCGCGTAGAAAGTACAAGGGCTATGGGGTCGTAGGACGATTGGCTGTGGAGGCATGATGTGTGGATGGTTGTCAAGGTCTGAGGGTGTGGACAATCGTAGGCAGCCGCTTCTGGAACGGCGCGGCCCAGGCGGCGCGGCGAGGCCCGCTTACGAGGGGCTGCATGTTGGGCAGGGCCCACTGGACGGAAACCCCCCAGGAGCGGCATGTGACGTGCCCTGTCTGCACGAGACAACCCCGACTGCACCAGTCAACGGCCCCCGCTGCTCCTTTTCTATCATGTTCACCCTTGCTGCATGGTGTGCCAAGATCTGTTGCTCACATGTTGTTGGTTGCCACAACTACATTGACCTATTCTGTCCGACCCCATCCGCCCCAGGTGCTCAAAAACGCAGTCCGTGCGACCGTGGAGCGCCACACCGCCGGCGGCCGCGCGCCGTCGCCGCGGCTGCCGCCCGTGCTCGTGCGCGTGTGTGCGGGCCGCGACGCCCTCTGCCTGCGGATCAGCGACGCGGGGGGCGGCATTCCGCAGGAACACCTGTCCTCGGTGAGGCGGCTGCGCCCAACGCAGCCTGTTCTGGGAGTAGACAAATTTTGGAGAATGGGGAACGGGGCCAGAGCTATTTCAGCTGACGTTGTGTCAACTTGCCCGACGGCCCGCCACTGACATGCACGACGCCGTCGCGTCTCGGCAACGAGCGTGTCTTTCTCTCAGACACAATTCATGTTGCTGACGTCTGCCTGCACACCAACATCAACTGTTGTCAGTGATCAAAAATCAACCCCCTGATTACTCTCAGGTGTGGGCCTACGGCTTCACCACCTGCAGCGACACCGGCAGCAGCAGCGGCGCCAACAGCGGCAACAGCGGCGGCGGGACGGACGGGGAGGCCCCGGCTGCGGACGCCGCCGCGGCGCGCCCAGGCAGGGGCCTGGGCCTCGCGGAAGTCTCAGAGGCGCCACGTCAGCGCTACAAGCTCGCCGGGCTCGGTTTTGGGCTGCCGCTGTCGCGGCTGTATGCGCGCTACTTTGGGGGCGACCTGGCGCTGCAGAACCTGCCCGGGTATGGGGTCGACGCCTACCTCACCCTCAAAAACCTGAGGCACCTCTCGCGCGACTGGTCGGAGCGGGACCACTCTTGAAGGGCTCCGCTTCTTGCACCTGCTACAGCGGCGCCGACGTTCTTGCTGGCTGTCGAACTGACACTTCCAAACTCAACTCGAAATATGGATCAAGTTCGTGTTTGATAATCATGATTGCTGTGGTTGCGATGAGAGTCAGAGTGTTGTGACTACAAAATGCCTGCCTAACCCCTTGCGACCATGTGTAAAAAGCAGTCGCCTTACAAAACATCTCAGGCACTCTCCATGCGTGAAGACACCTCTGTGCGGCGCCGATGCATGCATCGCGCATGCGCTCATCACGTCTGCACTTGTGCAGTAGTGCCAAACACACGCTGCCACCAGGCAGCCGGGGTCCGCCGCCGAGCGAGCAGCACACCTCAGCTTGTCCCAGTCACGTTGCCCAGCTTTGTCAATCGCTGCAGTCGCTGCCGCTGTCGCTGCCACCATCCGCCGCCGCGGCCGCCGCGGCTCCCTGCAAGGCGCCTCGCGCCGCCGCGCACTCCGCCGCAGAGCTGCGGCTGGGCATGATCAGATTGCAAAACAGCAGCTCAACCAGCCGCCGTGTGACATCCTCGCTCAGTCGGCGGCGCGGCCGTGTCGCTTCGCGGCTCCGTCCCGCCGCCTTGCTGCTGACTGGGTGACCGACGCGCCCGCTGCCAGCGCTGCCGCCATTGCAGCCATTGCCCTCTGTAGCCTCCGCCTCTGCCGCGGCTGCGGTCACCAGCAGGCGGGCGTGCGCCGCGTCCAGCGGCGACCGCAGGTCCAGCCGCGGCGGCGCCTGCTGCCAGGCGGCCGCGAGCGACGCTGCGAGCCGGCGCGCGTCGCGGCCGGCCCCACATGCACCCATTTTGAGGGCGTAAAACGGGTTGTCAAAATCACCTGCCCCATCACAGCTGCTGCTCTCATTGCACCCAAACAGCACTAGATTGTCAACAGGGACCGCAGCCTGCAGCCTACCCGCGATCTCGCGCGGCGCCGCCACCACCAACCTGCAGCCGGCGCCGGCGCGGCCCGACCGTGTCAAAGCCGGCGCCGCGACGCGCGCGCACAGGCGGGCTACGACCGGGGCACTGGCCTGCACGTCCGACGCCAGCACCGCCAGGATGGGGCAAACGTGAAGCGGGCCCGCTGCACTGCTCTTTGCCAACAACAACTCCAGAGCCGCTTCCGCGGCCGGCGTGCACAGCATGACTGTGCACCCCCCGCCCATGTCTGCCTCGGCGCAGGTCTGGCTACTGCTGGGCGGCCGCGCAGGCCCACGCACGTGCATCGCCGCCGCGGCTGCGCAGACAGCCGCCAGCGCGTACCCGCCAGTGCGCCCCTGGACCAGCAGCGCGCAGCCGTTGGGCAGCAGGGCCAGCGCCTCCATCATGCGGCCAGACAGCCCCTGCCGGCTGCTGTCTGCGCAGCCGGCGCCGTCCTCGAGGCTCTCGCCGCTGTCGTGGCCTCCGTCCGGAAGCTGCCACACGGACAGCTGCTGCTCAAACCGCCTCACCAGGGTGCCTGCTGCATCAATCGGCGCGTCTGGCTCCTCGTCGGCCGCAGGGGGGGCATGCGCTGTGATCCGCGGCGGGCTGTCTCCCCCTGGCCTATCTGCCACACTGCTGTTGCCAGTGCCACCCAGGCATCCAAGCCCGACGCCGGCCGGCACGGGTGCAAAAGCAGACGCTGCGCATCGCAGCACCTCAGCCAGCACGCGCTCCGGCGGCGCCGCACCCCCGCCTGTGCGGCAGCGGCCGCGGAACGCTCGCCACGCGCCCGCGGCGCGCGCCGCGGCGGCGCCCCACCGCGTTAGCAGGCGCGCGCGCAGCTCCGCCTCGGCTGCAGCGAGCCGGGCGGCGCGGAGGGCGGCGTCGGCGCGGCGGGCGAGGGCCGAGGCCAGCAGGCTCTCCAGGTGTCTGCTTGGCTGTGAGGTGTCAGCCTGCGTCATGTTGGGGGTTCAGGGTTGAGTGAAGCGCCTTTGCCAGTGGACCCATGCTGCGAAGACTACCTGCAACAGCTGCTCCTTGCTCTTATTGCAGCCACTTGCTCAACTCAAGGCTGCAAAGCGCAACGGCCGCCCGGACAACGCACAGACGCAGACATCTGCCCTTGCGGCTGCCAGTCCGGAGAGCTTGAACCAGCGCAGAGGCCATCAGGCGTACCGTGTGCAAATCAACAGCAGCTGCACGTCGCAGCACAGAAGACTGGGTGCTGCTGCCCCTGGGACTGTCCCGCCCACGCACCTCTACCAGGCTCCGCAGCAGCCCCTTGCCGCGCTCCCGGGCTTCGCCAGCCGCCTCCGCCGCCGCTGCCTGCGCCGCGGCCAGGTCCCGCAGCGCCCTGGGCTCTAACAGCTGCAGCAGCAGTCCGAGTATCCTGTCGGCCAGCGCGTCCGCCGCCCCAATTGTATGAATGGCGTCAAGAGCGGGGGCGCCGTCTGCATGCCTCTGCTGCTGCTGCTGCTGCTGCTGCTGCTGGCGGCGGCTCCCATCGTTCCTGATATCCACCAGGCAGCACGCCTCAAGCAGGCCGTCCGCCCACGCCTCGTCGCCGCTGCCATTTCCTCCGCCCCGACCCTCCACGTCATCCGCCGCCACCGCAAACACCAGCCGCTGACGGCACCCCCAGGGCACGCAGCCATGCTCCGCATCGTTCGACCCCGCCTCCGCGCCCCGCAGCAAGCACAATGCGGCGTCGCGTCCACCGCCGCCGCCGCCGCCGCCGCTGTCGTTATCGGCTGCGGCTGACACGTGACACTCCTCTGGCCCCGACTTATAGCATCTGCTCCCGTCTTGTCCCTCGCATCCCGCCACACCAAGGCTGCGCCGCCGCCGCCGCTGCTGCTGCTGCTGCTGCTGCTGCTGCTGGTGCTGCTGCTGTCCTCCTGCCATCGCCCAGCGACGACCGGCCTCCTTATCAGGGCCCTGTCGCATCAGCCAATGGTGAGCAGTGATCCGCTCAACGAAGCGTGCCACAGCGCCAGCCAGCAGGGCCGCGCGGGCAACGCGCACGACCAGGCTGCTGCCGCGCCGCAGCGCCGCGAGCGCCGCAGGCTCTGCTGCCAGCAGCTCGCCGCCAACGCCACATGCAACTCCACCGCCGCCGCCGCCGCCGCTGCAGCCGCCAGGGGGTGCAGGCGCCGCGCCGCCCTCATCTTGGATGCACTGCACGACGCCGTCTGCTGACACGCCCACGACTTCGATCGTCTCCCACCGGCCGCGGCCGCCGCCCACCGAATCCATGCTGCGAAGCAGCTCTGCAAGGCCCCCCTCGCCCCCGCCCAGCACGATTGGCGGCCGCCCCGACGCCTCGGCCGCGGCCAGCACCCGCATGAGCGCGGCAGGCGGGCCCCGGCCGCCGGCCAGACCAAAGCCGGAGATTGCCAGCAGGTCTGCACGCGGAGGCTCCAGTCCCAGCAGCTCGGCAACGCCGACCCGCGCAGCGCTGTCTTCCCCATAACCTGTGCGGCAGGCGTCGCTGCCGCTGCCCTTGGGCGCTGTTGGCGCCACGGCCGCCTCTGTCGAGGGGAACCCGCGCCCCGCCAGTGCGACCGCCCAGCGGCGCCGCGCCGCGGCTCGGCCGTCCGTCGAGGCCTGGTCTCCATACTCCAGCTCGGCGGCCGAAAGGACGCAGTCCCCCAGCAGCAGGGCCATCCGCCGCGCCAGCGCCTCTGTCTCCGACCCCCATTCCGCGCGCAGCTCGTCAAGGCCCCGGCGCAGAGTCGCCGCCGCCGCCGCCGGCGCTGCCACGCGCTGCAGGGCGCTCCCGTCGCCGCCTCGCGACCCCAAGCCTGCCTCGCACGCAGCCCCAGATGCGGGGGCGGCATGCTCGCATTCGGCCTGTGCAGCCAGCCTGGCGGAGAGCTGCCCCACCCTCTCCATCCCCACTGACAGCGCCGGGCGGCGCCGAGCGAGCGGCCCGCGCGCGAAGGCGTGCAGGCGCACGGTCAACGCTAGCACCCGCAGCGCCGCGGTCGGCGGCGGCTGCTGCGCGTGGGGCGCGCCTGCTGAGCACTTATGCACGCCTGAGCGCCGCTGGTGCCCCTGCCTGGCTGCACTGCTTTCCTCTGTGACGATGGCGGCGGCGCTGCCGCAGGAGCAGCAGTCCACTGCCAGGCCGTGAATCTCGGCCAACGCATCACACAGCTGCGCAGTCGCCTCCTGATGCGCAGCCTCCAGGGAGGGCGGCGCTCCTGGTGGTTCCGCCGCTGCGTTCTTGGGTGCGGCTATGTCCCGTTTGTCGCTGCCCTCTGCTCGCTCCGCTTCCTGCTGCTGCTGCTGCTGCTGCTGCTGCTGCTGCTGCTGCTGCTGCCTCCCCCGCCCCGCGTCCTCGACATGCGCCCGCAACGCCGCCTGCCCGCCGCCCCCTGGCGCCAGCAGCGCCCGACGGCAGTCGGCCGCCAGCTCAGCGGCCGTCTCCTGCCCGAGCGCAACCTCGTAGCATGCGCCCCTGCCCGCAAGCCTCGGAAAGCGCGTCCGCAGCTGCGCCAGGCTCCCGGCCGTCCCGACCAGCAAGACGGCGCGCAGCGCGCCCGCGCCAGCGCGTGCGCAGCGCGGGGGAACGCGTGCGCCGGGCGCGCCGAACAGGCAGCGTTGCAAGAGGCTTAGGGTTTCGTCGCAGCTGGCCGCGTCTGGTCCCACCAGCAAGACAAAGGGATCCACCTTGTGGCAGACCCCTGCTGCAGGCTGCAGACCAGATGAAGGACAGCTGCCACCCATTGCTGAGTCAGCAGCGCCGGCACCCACCTCTAGCGCCCAGCTCGCCGCGGCGGCGTCCGCCGCCGCGGGCGCCACGCGCATCGCCGCCGCCGCCGCCGCGCCCGGCGCGTCCACGCGCCACGC